GTGGTGCAATGAAACTCCAGCGAGGCTTCAGTGGTGGTCTGACGAGGTTCCTGCGGTGGTCCGGCGAGGTTCCTGCGGTGGTCCGGCAGCCGTCGAGGAGGAGCTTCTTCCTGCCGCCTGAAGATGCCGGAACTCTGCAGGATTTTCGGGAGAATGCTAGAATTCTACCCAACTTCCATGGGATGCTTAAATTCTTCCCAATTTACAAGAGAGTTCCCTCCTAACGCCGAAACTCCGCCCAAGTGAAGCCGAAGTTCTCTCTGCCACCAAAGACGTTGGACTTCTACCCGACGTCGGACCTTCACTCTTCGCCAAGTTTCCACCCGACGCCGGACTTCTACCGGTTATCGGACTTCGCTGGACGTCTATGCGAAGATGCATTTATTTCATTTGCTGGACTTCTACCTGATGTTGTCACTGATCTTCGTCGTCAGACTACGGTCCTTCCGACCTTCGTCGCCAGCTGACTACAGTCCTCCTGACTTACGTCGCCCGTCGACTACAGTCTTTCCGACATCCGTCGCCCGTTGAATACGGTCCTCCTGACTTATGTCGCCCGCCGACTACAGTCTTTCCTACCTCCGTCGCCCGCCGACTACGGTCCTCCTCACTTACGTCGCCTGCCGACTACAGTCCTCCGTCGCCAGTTGACTACGGTCCTCCTGACCTACGTCGCACGCCGACTACAGTCCTTCTAACAAAGCGAATACGTCGATAATAGCTCTTTGTATTTACATCATGTAATGTACTCCATAAGATGTACATCAAGCTAAGGCATTCTCTCAAGGAAGGGCCTCATTTGTAATCGAAAAAGCTAGAGTGGATTAGGGACCAAATAGTTAGATGATCAATATCAACATTGGTGTTGCTATCTTGTTGGGGATAATGATTATCAATCAAAGTCATATATGGGATCCTGATATGAGTACCCATTAGGTACACATGCTTTACTCGGACGGGCTTCGCCCACCCATGCCCACCTATGGTGACTTTCAGGATTGTCGTACCCACCTATATCCACCTACTTTACTTTCAATGCTTTTTGAATGCAGCCTGCCACAGATTGATGGCCATGAGGCTTGTTGCCCTTTGCTCTGATTGCAAACTTTCAAGCCGCATATCAAAATTTACCGCAGTCATTGCGTGGTTAAGTGTTGCACACTACTCAGTGAGGATTGCGATAATATAAGATATACAGTGATTAACAATGTAAATCGATTTATCCCCCAATATTGAGTACCCACCCAGAATATAATGGGCATACACATAGCCACCCCACCCATACCCATTGGATATGGGTAGGTACATGACTGGGTGTGGGTATGAGTACCCAATACAAGGCTCTGTTATCAACACACGTGTTAATGAATGATACTAGTCTTATTAGCAACAAAGACCTTTAACATTAATGGTGATGATGAATGTTGGGGTTGGTGGTAATGGTCGGTGATGCTGATGCAGACTGTGGGTGTTGGCCTTAGTGGAGTGGACAAATTTATAGTGCATATAGAAAGAATTATATATATACATTTTCAATAAATCCTTCTTGTGGCCTTGTCTATGCCTTCCTAAATTTGTGAACATATGGCATATTTATAATTTTTTTAACATAAACATCATGATAATTTCAACAAAAAAAAAAAAACAAATTAGCCAAACATTTTTATGTTAACCCCCTTGTTTATATGTAATATATTGAAGCATGTATATGTGTCTTAATTATATCAGTATTAAACTATTAAGTGATCTTGGCTTCGTTATTTTTCCTTGAAATGCATATTTTGATTATAAGATTTTAAAAAATAGACTTCAAATAATCCCAAGGTGATTCCATAATATTTCGAAGGTATGTTTTATTGGATAGTTTTAAAATGCATGTATTTTAGAAATTCAGAGTGATTTGAATGCCTACATTTTAGAAATATACAGTGATTTAAATTATTGCATTAAAAAAACTCATGAAGTGTTTGGTTAGTGCAAAGTAAATGCATTGATTTTTTTTTTTTTTGCTATGATCTATATGCTGGATTGAAATACAATAGCTGGCAGAAGCAAAGGACAATTGGCGGTGATGCATAATGGCGGGTGGTGGTGGCAAGGACAATATACGACAACAAATTGTGAAAATATTGTGGGAAGCGAGTGACAAGCAACAACGATAGGTGACAATTGTAAGAAAGACGATATCATGGGCTAAGAGTTTTTCTTGCACTTTGAATTCACTCGTGTGAGCGGGCAAATCATAAAAAATAGATATATTTTGCATAATTCTAAATTACTTACATGAATATTTTATTTTTTATATTTAATTTATTTCAAACCAAACATTAAAATAAATAAAATACTTAAAGTCATCTTACTTTACATTTATGCTTACCAATTGTAATAATTATGTAACTATTTGTGTTTTATTAGAAGAATTTTTTTATGATATATCAATTGCCTTATATTTTTTGATATTAAAATTTATCCATCTGAAAATATTTTGGGCCTTAAAAGATTTGCAGCATAAAATTGCAATTAAAATAAATTATAACATGTGATCTCTCATTGGATCTCAAAATGGACTTTGTCCTAAACAAATTGTTGAGAATTGAGCTTCTGCAGCAAGATCACTATGGTGTTTAGAAGGGCAGCAAATCCCCTCTTCTCAAGAGTTTGGGACTTCCTTTTAATGGGAGATAAGCTCAATAAAGAAATTTAATGAATGAGACTACATATTATTTCACATTTTCCCTAAAAGAAGACCACTATGTATATAAAGCTCGAGGTTAGAGCAATTGGTAATTCAAAGGGAAATTTTGGTTGATTGCTTGTGTCCCGACCGAACTCGATATGATCGGATACCATATAAGTCATATCGTGTCCGATCATGATAAGAACCATAAACTAACCCCAGTATTTAGTTGGAGAAGTGATGAGAAAAACTAAACATTTAATTTTGTAGCAAAATATCATAATATCATAATAACCCTCAGGCTTTAACTTTCAATATATACAAACAAACAATATAATCCCTTCTTGCTGCCAACAAAATCCATTCTCTCTGCCAACAAAATCCTTTCTTAGGGAATATCAAAATAGCTCTTAGGTGTCAGATTCATAATAGCCCCCAGGCTTCAGAGTTTTATCACATAACAAATAATAGAAACCCTTCTCATAGCCAACCGAATCCCTTCTCTCCACGAATAAAATTCCTAATATACACATATTTCAAATCGTTCCAATAACATATCCAATGTTACATGGATAAAAGTTATGACAATCCGATAAAATGCATATTTGTAAAATCAAATTATAAATTTATTCGAAAAAATCTAAAAAACTTGCATCGAATTATTGAAAACCGAGATAGGCAAAGTGCAAAATACCTTGATTTGAGAAATTTTTTAAACTGGATCGATGGCTAAAAATGATCTCAAGTCGCCCGAAATAGACTTTATCTCACTAGAAACTCTATCTCTCACTCACTAGGTGCTGCTCAAACAAAACATAATAGAATGAATAGTGGATTTGGATATTTTTAAGTGCATAATTCGGCCCAAAACGCCCAAGTGCCATTGTTTCAGCGCTACGGTGCTAGTTCATTTTTCATTTTCTAGAGCTCACAATACTAGGGTGCCACTATTGAAGCACATGGGGTGTTCCTAGGAAAAAAATTAAATATCACCAATATGCATTCAGATCCCCAGACTCTACTCCAGAAGGCATGCAAACATTTTTCATACACACATTATTTCCAAACACATACAAACGAGTTCAAAATGCAGATATTCAAGCAATTATCTCTTTTAAATAAAATTAGAACATGTTAAACTGAATGCTAAAATTGAAGGTACCATAACATGTCACATAGACTTTCCCTTGATATGTTTGTAAGTCCAGTCCTTAACATTGAGGATTTATTAACTTGACCATTGAAAACTATATATGGGATAATTATAAGTTAATCTTAATGCTAGTGAATCCAGCTCCAATATGCTATTACCTTTATAGTCAAGATTTTTTAAGACCGAAGAAATTGTCATTGCTAAAATATTATCCAATGTAGGCAAAGATAGATTCCTAATGCTATGGACAAAATAACCCCCATTAGAATATACACTTTGCTTATTAAGGAGGAATTATAAAAGGTATCAATCAATGTGGTTGAATAGTATATCAAATTCAACTATCTGTAAAAGAGCTTTTTTTTTGGGTCGAGGAGAGATGATGGAGGACAAAAAAGGGATTTCATTGCTAGTTCATCATCAAAATCTGATTACATTTTGTGTATAACTTTTATATTATTTCTTGTAAAATAGGGCCACCATACATGTGCTTAGAGTGGATTTTCAAATGTTAAATTCTCCTTTGAAAGCTATTCACTTACCATCAAATTGAAGATTCATAATTACAATTGAAGATTTATGAGATTTTTCGAGGAGAATACATACATGTTCCTCTCTTTTTTCACATCTAATTTGTATCATTTATATCCTATAGTTTATTGAAAAAAAGAGCTTTGGATTCCTTGCAAAAATAAAGGTGCTTATGATGGCTATTTGCTATTAGTTTGAGATTAATATGCATGTTAACAAAAATACAAATATTTTTATTCTAATCCTAACAACTCAATATCTATCTACCATTTCATATGTTCTCATGCACCCTCTCTATCTTCCAAACACTTCAAATCAATTCATCCCTCATATATTTTCTTTATCATCTTAGTGCCTTAGGAATTCATAATTGAGTGATTTTGATCTTATTAGACCTTTCTTAATGTTTTATGTTTATGTTAAGATTCATTATTGATCAAATGGAATTTTTTTAGCGATGTTAAGCATAATTGATATTCAATATATATATAGTGCGCGAATTTTGATGAAGTTAATGGTTTCATGTATATTCAATTGTTCATACATAGCCATTAAAATGCTCTCTCTCTCTCTCTATATATATATATTATAGTTATCGCTGTCGCCTGTTATAGGTGGCGTGTGAGATTCGCGGGGGCAACGAGAGCACGAGGCTTGCAAGGCAAAATCACCGGTCGAAGTAAACGGCTTCTTGGCGAAGAAAAAATAAAAAAAAGGGAAGGAGAAAGCACCGATCGACCCATTTGTCGCCGTCATCGCCTTCGAAGGAAATAAAGCGGCAGTGAAGGAGGTTGCGAGAGCTTGCTTGGAGAGATTTGAGAGGGATAGAGGTATGGGGGCGGAGGGGAAGAGCTTGAATATTTCTTCCGTCGTTAAGGAGGCAGCTGCCAACGACGGTGGAGGAACGAGTAGCGGCAGCGGAAAGGACGCGACGTCCTTGATCCCTTCGTCGTCCATTTCCATAGACATATCACTCCCGGTTCCGGAGATGAAGCCCGGGATCATGTACGTGCATCTAGTTCTTTTCTTTCTCTCCATTGACTGCTTGCTTTGTCTTCCACTTTGACTAGACCTTTTCTGATTCATGTAGTTATTCTATCCGTTCCTTGATGTTGAGGGACAAATGTCTGCATTTTGTTAACATTGCTCTGTTCGTTTAGGTTATCATAAGCACAATCTTGTTGTCTTAACAATAATTGCGCCAATTTATCTGATTATTTTTGAAATTTTTTGAAGCGATTTCCCTTCTCCCTTTTTTTTTTTAAGTTCTTGGAGTTTATTTGTGATATCTTCTTGATCTTTCTACTTTATAATCCAATTATGTTATTGTTGAAGTCACTGGTAAATTTTTTATGTTTGGTTCTAAAAAAGATTTTGTTTTTACTCATTTGGCATTATTGTGCAACTTTTCACGTTTTGATTATGCGAGATTTGTCTTTCACAGTGCTAAGTCATTCCTATTAGTTAAAATAGGAAAGGTAACGGGTGTCTGTGTTTATGTGGTGTTAAAGTTATCTTGAATGCCAAGGTGGCATAATGGGCTATATGATGCCTTCTAAAATCTAGAACAGCGCCAACAAAAGCAAGGAAAATTAGAAGACACAACTGCTTTTGTATTGCATATTTGAACCTCTAAATAACCAATGGGAAATAAAAAAAAAAAGAACTTCTTGTAGAAAGTAGTGTATATTTGCACTAGATAAGTGAATAGAAGTTCCCTAAAGAGAAAAATAATCACAGTTGGCTCTGTTCTTATCATGAAACAGTTCAGGGATTTTAGCTTAAGTTTGGTTGCTTCTCCCGTTTCTGTACATAAAAGCTGCAAGGAAACCGAGGAATTGGCATATCAACGCACAGAAGCATACTAACTTTAACAATGAATAGCTGAATTCACCATGATCTTGCTAGCTATGCATTATATAGAAAAATTACACAACATCTGCGCTTAGAAAGATTTGTGACTTCAATTGTTAACAGAGGCATGAATTAGACGTTTTGTCCTCTAGGATGGGAGGAATTTCACCATTCAAAGAGTCAGAGTTTGGGAAATAATTTTATCTGAGATACTCTGGAAGGAGGTTGAAAATATTGTGAAGAAAATAAACTCACAAAGGAGATAACAAGATTTAAGTTTTTCGGTTTTGGGAGCAACGAGCACCATGCAGAGAGATGAAAAGAAATTCTTTACTAGATGAGGAAAGAATAATGTAAGGGCATAAAATTTTCAAAAAATCTCCTCTCCCTGAAGGGGCTCTCTACAATGCTTTTGCGCAGGAAAATTTTGCCAAAAGAAACTTTTGTTGGTGGATGTTGTTAGATGCTGTTTGATGTCCTTTTGAGAGAATTGAACTATGTTCTTTATAGCCATTATTTGTTTCAGGAGTTGAACTAAAAATTAATTGAACGTTAAAAAAGATCAGGCACCAAAACATGTCTCTTCATGAATAATCTAGGTTAAATTGTCCATTAAGTCACAATTAATTGATTGTAATATGTCTGATTTTCCTTATGTATGTGATACCTTTATTCATTGAATTTGCATTCATTGAATTTGCAAAATTCAATATATTTGAGAAATTGAAGTTTAAATATTCATCCGAGAGGATATTTCGTTTGAGATTTATCCCAAGAGACATTGCCCTCTTGAGTTCTATCCTCTAAGAAGTTGAAGTGTCATGGCCATTTAATATTTAGTTAATTATTGATAAATCCACACCTTGATGCTGAAAATTCTATACGTATGATATGTTTTCAAAATGTGACAATATGCAATCATTGAATTCATCTCCTCCCTTTTATGGAAGTTAATCTTTTTAGCATTATTTTTAAGTTGTTATTTCTTCTTTTGATTCTTCGATTCTTTAGGTGAAAGAAATCCTCCACAATTGAAGAGAAACTACTTATATGGTTATATTTGCGAAAGATGTTATAGAGGAAATGATGATGTTGGTGATAAAGTTATTTTTGAGGGTCAAACCCTTCTTTTTGAATCTTTAGGTGTTTACACTCTTTTAGGTGTTTATCTCCATAGCCAACTTGAGAATGAAATATGAATCCTTGTTTGGTGATACTCTTTGAGTTTAGTGGAGGAATTGATAGATATTAAGAATGTTAAGGAGAAAAGGATATACTGATGATGAATTAAATAAGTGGCTATTGTCGAATGTTGGATTTGAATTTGTTCGTGGATGACACCCGACTTTATTAGTTGGTGACTGATAAATAAGACCTGAAAAACTAGATTACATTTGATGAGTATGGAGAATTAGAGAAGAGATGTGGAGTCTACAAATAAAATCCATAGCAAGTAATATGAAGTTAAGGATCTAAAAAATGCTTTTTCATTCTTTATTTATAACGCTTCAAGGGATACATGAAAGCTACGCCTAGAAAATAAAAAAAAAATACAATGCATGACGTGAGTAATAGAGATTGAAACTCTAATCTAGTCATTGCCAATGTGGATTCCTACCTCTGATGTGGCTTCCTAGTCTTAGGCAAGTGCTCTAGACGAGTTTTCAAGAGTGAGTGCCTTGGGTGAGTTTTTGAAATCTAGCATGTGGGGTGAATCTGTGGGGGTGAGTCCTTTGGGAGTGGGGGTGAGTCCTTAGGGGCTTTATTCCAACCTCTAAGCACGAGGGTGTGATACGTTGGATGGAAAGAGCATCAAACTGAACGCAGACTTAGCTTGGGAAATCATAGTCATTAGCTTCTAAGGTGTGGACTTCTTATAAATGTCAACAATAGACTTGTCACAACCCAACTCGAGCAGGAGGGTCCTATCATGTTGAGTGTTATAGACAAATCCCAAAATATAGTTTCAGAATGGTCTAGATTCTCTTCCAATATTTATTTTAAATAAAGTACATACTACAGAGCTACTAAATTATTCAAATACTGAAGATAAATTCATCCATAAGATTTCTTTTATTTCATTAAAATATATCTATAATACAATACATGGCTATATGCTGAAGCTACAAAAATTAATAATAAACTAGCCATGAATGTACGAAAATCAAAACAGAGAAATACCTATAAACTTAGATATGATCATGAACTGTTAATCCACAATCTCCTTCCCTTTCTCAAAGTCTGAAATCAGAAACAAAACCACAATAAGTTACAATAGCTCAGCAGGCCACATAAATCGATCTAACATTTTAAATTCTTTTATTAAACATTTAGTTGAATATTTAAATCCGTATTTAGAAATATAATACAATCATAATATTTATCCAATAAAAAAAACAATAATGAGCAGATGAATACATTACAATTCATCATAGAGCAATTCATATTACATTCCCTAGACCCAGACAAAATCTCAAAGGAGTCAAGGGCCCACCTAACCTCGAGCGAGTTATTTGAATGCTCATTAAGTGAGTTTGAAGTATTAACATTAATGCATTGGACGTTTGGTTTGTACACAAGGGCAATCAGCTTTAACAATATGCTGTTAGAAGCTCGTATGAGTATTTTGGGCAAAATTGTTTTCCCTTTCCGATCCTTCCCTCTTTATTGCACAAGCGGCTTGCTAGTGACATGTACTTTAGATTAGTGCATGTCACTCTCAATAGAGTTTCATTCTATCATTAATGCTACTGGAATTTTGGATGGCGAGCATGTCAAGGAGATAGTGCTGCCACCCTCAACTTATGATCTTCTCGTAGCTCCAACTATATTTAATACTTAAATATCACATCTTATATGACATTCCTTCTAACTTAAAATTTAAATTTAAGTATTTTGAAAGCTAAACTTATTTAGTGTTACTTAATATTGAACCATTGTTTTAATATTTATTTTTAGTAGAATTAAAATCTCAAACCTTCACTTAAGATATCAAAATTATTAGCGTTCAATCAAGTAGTTGGTGCTAATTTTTTATTTGAGTAAAACCCCAAAATAATCTCTCAACTATTGATAAATATTCAATTTATTCCCAAAGTTTCATATTGCCTCATTTTAGTCGCTCGACTATTAGAAATTGAGCCAATTTAGTCCCAGAGCCTAAAATAAGAGTTAAAGTTAACCCCAGAGCCTAAAATAAGAGTTAAAGTTAACTCCAATGTTATATATGTATGATATTTTAGGTATTATATGTGGATGTGAGATTATATTATTTATCCCGCTCTATTTTATAATTTAATAAATTATAGTATATATTTAATCTGTTACATAATAAGGGTAAATAAATAATGAAAAAAAATATATTTTTCAAAGCAAAATCTAATATTGCTCTTCTTTATCGTATGTTAATAGAAAATGAAATGTATTTTAAAATTTTTAATATACTACATAATCAAGGTTATTACATAAAGAAATTAAAATTCGTGTTTAATTGTGCCTTATTGCATGTAATTTTCATTTGGATAGCTTTAGTGCAGTTCTCGTTCATCAACAAGACTAAGGTACATCAAAATGTGAGAAACTTCCATGATGATGCTAATAGCAAAATTTTTCAAACCCATTCAAATAGTTAAGCAAATAAATACATACAACACAAATAATAATGAATGAATCCCTATCATTAATCGTATGATAAGAAGTTAAGCAAACCTAGCATTAACTGTGCCTTGGTCTCCTTGTGGATGTCGCAAAGTGCTTGCTGTCTCCATCTTTGGGTGTCAAATGGC